AAAAAAAAAAAAAAACAACCCCGGCAGCCCTGCCATCCCCATCCCCATCCAAACTCCGACCACCACACTCAAATGCCCAATCCCCTTTCACCACTGCTGTTACACCTTCACCACCAAATAAGGCACAATCAAGCACGACCACGCACAACAATGACGGATCACCCATCACCAACACACCCCATTGCCAAATGCACAAACATCCTTCCATCAATCGAAGATCTCATGCAAATAAAAGCATAAAACCTATAGAAGGATGAAGCGCTACAGATTACACGAGAACATCAAACCTAACCTAACACATAAGCACATCCGGTGAAAGGAAATGTTGGAAACAATAAACTAGAAGATCCAAGTTTTCAGGTGATGACTTGTCAATTTTTTTTTTTAAAGGTGCTTCTGGCTGAGAATTAGTAGGTGGACCACAAAACCTATACCAAAATCCATGAATTTTTCACAGAATTCAAACACACAAAGAAATCAGCACAGAATATCTGAAGATCTACGGCAGCCCNGAAAGGTGCTTCTGGCTGAGAATTAGTAGGTGGACCACAAAACCTATACCAAAATCCATGAATTTTTCCCAGAATTCAAACACACAAAGAAATCAGCACAGAATATCTGAAGATCTACGGCAGCCCCCTCCACAATATCTGAAGATCTCCAATAGCCCTCTCAACTTTGATCTTTAAGGAGTCAACTCTGGCAGCCATGTTTGTTTGCAGGACTCGCTTTTGTCTGATAATTAGAGGAGAGAGAAGAAAGAAAAAGATAAGTGAAGGGTTGGGTTGGGTTTTGGTCTGGGTTAGGGTCTGGGTCTGGGTCTGGGTCTGGGTTGGGTTGTTTATGTATGAGGATTAGAATGATTGTCTTTTAGCTAATTTAATATAGGAAGGAAATTTTATTTTTGCATGCCACATCATCAACTCCATTAATTTGGATGAAATTAATACCTGAGCACATTAGTCCACAAACCACATGAGGGTTATGTGGCCAGTTTTGAATGTGAGGAGGGTGATGAGCATATGGTTCTAACCACAAGGAGACAAAGTGAAGTTTACCCTTGGTTCTTTAGAACTGGAAAGTTGGTGTCATTGAATACAAAGACTAGAAACCAAACTAGATATACTCACCACACCAGAGCACGGTAAACCTGGGAATCTGGCCATTGTTTCAAGGAGACTGTCTTCATCAGTTAAAATATCTATAGAATCTTGCACTAGCGATGCTAATTGAATAACTCTTTCGGCAAGTTCATCATCTGATATAAATTCACAGGCCTCTGAAATTTCTGGTACAAAACTGAGTGGCGTTTGAGCATTTTGTCTTGCAAATTTGACACCTTCCTTCCAATTTCCATGATAAAGAACAGAAGCAAAAGTCAAAACTACAAGGGCATGTTGGGGCTTATTTAATAATCCCAGATGAAACGCCAAAAGTCCAACCCTGTCCCATGCACACAACAAAAGATTAAGCCAACAGCCTTTCAAACAGAAAACAATAATCTGGCAAACATAAAATATATATTCCACAGTTAAAGCATGTCAACCCTCAAAACATAGCATATATTGCACAACGATTGTTAATGCTGCTAGCAGTCAGACTGTTCTGGAATACTTCTAGTGGGATGATGCATCACTCTTTTCATTCGAATTCACTGAGGATAATGCACCACTTAATACAAACAACATATATAATTATAATTAAAATGCCATAATTTATCACAACAGAAATAATATGCTATGAATTGGTTCAGGTCACTTCTTCATCTAGGAGATCCACTCTTCTCAATCAAATTTTGCTTACTCAATTTTTATTACTTCCATGAAAGCATGGCAAGTCAAAAGTATTTATTCGCAGATAGTATGAAATGTAGACAGATATATTTGATTTCTCCTGGTAAGCAAAATTTGAAAATTACTTTGATTCCATAATCTAAGAAATCACCATATACCATTTTATATAGGATGATCGGAAGTAATATGCTCGTATCCATAAAGCTTCCAGCAAAGCAATATACTTTGGCTGATCAAGGATGGAAAGTATAGAGCTTCAAGTTAAAAGTATTTCAAAGCAAAGGAGCATGAAGATTGAAGTGTTTCTACAATGTACATAAAAAGACAATTTCCCAGTGGCTCATCAGGAATACTACCTCAAAGCTGAAGAGGATATCTCTCCTAAAAGAGAACACAATGGAAAAAGTAGACAGATGAATAATAAGGCAAAAAAAAAAATATTTAAGCATAGCAGGAATCAAGAATGCAAGTAATACTGCATGGCGGTAGCACCGCTCTTCCTTAACATATCAGTCTCAGGAATCCCATTTGCCTAGACAACCTCTGTAACTCACAGTAAATTTGTTGTGCTAGTACTGGTGCAATCTGTGCAGATATTGTGAAGGTAGCTATTATGAGGTTTTAAAAATGCCAATGCAAATAATAATATCATGATGACAGTAACTTTTTACTTGAACCAAATGAAAATATCAACTTACCACAAAATACAGTCGGAAGGTCTATCACAAGTAACCAACTTATCCAGTTGGAAAAACAATTTCTGGAAAAATAATAAAATGCAATTTTCAATACATTATACTTGTGCAAAATGACAAAGAGTCAAACAAAGAACGGAAAAACTAATGGAAGTACAACCTTCAGAACAAATATTAACTGACATGTTAAACATATCAAACAAATTTATATTTGGTGCAAAGAAGAAAAAAAGGTAACACGAAACCAGTATGCATTTATAAAGGAAACAAAACTTACCATTAACATTATGGAACTCTGACCAGATTGTTTTCTTGTCTGCTGATCAAGGTATGCTGCCTGTAATGCAGCAGTTTTCACAGTATAAGCTTGGCTTCAGATTTAAAAGGCATGAGATACAGCAGCAAACCGGCAATGGAAGAACAACTTACATGAACTGGTAGCAGAATATCAAGCATATTGAATCTCCAAAGTAAACAAAGAGAAGATTCAGCAGCCCCATAGGACAGCATATAGTTCAACTCCATTATCATCCTGGACTGAATAAAAGAATATGCCAATATGGTGAAGGAATTGATAAATGTAAAGAATATCTGTTAGGACAAGCAGACTGCCAAAAGAGAAAGTGGCCTCAATAGTTCCCTTTATCAGGTTACAATAGATATTAAGCAGGACGGAAAACAAAATCAATAGCAGAATAACAAGAATTCCCCATAGGCAATAATAACTAACGAGAAAAATGCTACAAAAAACAGAATAGCTGCTACAACAATCAGACAGTGCCAAAAGAGAAGCCGCCTCAAAAGTACCCTTTATTGGGTTACAATAGATATTAGGAAGAAAGGAAAACAAAATTAATAGAAGAATGACAAGAATTCCCCCTAGACAAGAATAACTAAGGAGCAAAATGCTACCAAAAACAGAAGGAGGAGCAAAATGCTACCAAAAACAGAAGGAGCAAAATGCTACAAGACCTCAAATGAAAAAAATCTAGGATGCACAAAGTCAAAAAAATTATAGAAGTACCTTATTCAAGTTATTAATGGATGGAGAAAGTTTACGTATAGCAGCCTCAGTCTCCTTTGAGAAAGATAGGCTAAGACGAGCTGCAAGTCTCAAGCACCGCAGGATTCTTGCTGAATGGAATAGCATATTAAACCTTTCCAGTTAGTTTCCATAGATAACATACTCTGCAATGGGCTCAATGCTAAACAGATAAACAAGTTGAAGATAGACACACCTACCACAGTCCTCTTTAAATGACAACTCAGCAGGTATCAATGTCCGTAGCTGGAACGTATATCATAAGACAACCATAGTAAACTCCCAACTAAAAAAACAAAATAAACTGCAAATTTAAAGGTAATAAATAGTCACCTTTAAGGACCTTATATCCATCATCCCATTGGCATAATCATAGATTTTATTGACAAAAGGATCGAAGAATAAGCTGTATACACAATTTCGTGAACATGTACTAGAGTTAGGTGGCATCAAACAAGCTCAGAAAAGTTGAGCTAACACAAAGAAGAATTTTGGTGCTGCACACTAATATATCAACAGCACTGTCGATAGTCAAAACAAATCCTTAACCATGCAAATCAAAGAACTTTAGAACTGCAGAAAACAAAAAAAAAAAAACAGGGGAAAATAAAAAAAAGAAACCACAGTCAAACAAATAAAAAGAACCTGTTAATTGTGAAGTCTCGATGCATGCAGTTTCTCCAGCGAGTAAAGTCCTTTTTATCACAGCCCTTTGGCATTTGAGAGAAAAGAAACTTTTCTTTTTCAGCATGTTGTGCCACAGTTTCGAAGCTAGATACCTGTTGAAAATTGACTAACTGACTGAACCACGAAGTCTACATAAATTATATGCCAAATAGGAATTTACAGATTCTACAGAAGGCTCTAATATAAAAATGAAATGCATGAACCAACCTCAATGACAGAGCCCTTTACATGCACCCTACAAATAGGAAATCTTCGTCCAACAATTTCAGAATGATGAAACTGCTTCCGGATCTGCAGTTAAATAATATGTGGTCAAAATAAAAGTCTTAAACACACAATGTGCACACTAGCTTATTACTTGAGGAGTTTGAAAGAATCTGAAACAGTATGAAAAACCTGCTTAAGTGCAGCTGTGGTGATCAGATCAAAATCTTTCGGTATTCTATTTAGGAGTAAATCTCTAACACATCCACCAACTAAGTAGACTTCAAAACCTGCATATCATAAATTTTCTGGTAAGGGAGACCTACAATGGATGATTATAATGAAAGATCAATATTGAACATTCAATGTGACACAGGCGCATTAGCATTAGGCTATGACAACTGCATATTCTTAGGGGAACCTCATGATCCAACACATAGAAGAGACTATGAGATCAAATAAACATTTTCCGGTGCTCGCGAAGGAATAATTCCGCTTACTTAGAGGTCTGCAATCTGGTAGGAGGTTATTAAGTTGAGGCAGCCTTCTCGCATATTAGTATGCTGGAAGGTGAAGCCCCTCATTCAAGTAATGTGCATCTTTTTTTGTAAGTAATATTAAATTTTACGATTAAAGTAAAACATATTTCTGAACTGAAAGTCACAGTTGACGCCATAGTTTAGATCAAGCTTCCGGTAGAAATATTGCACCAAAATAGTAAATTCGTCATGGATTGCAACAGCCCGGTACCTCCAGTATGAATCTATTTCAGATCACCAAACACATGCTTAGATTGAACTCTATTAATTTGAGCATGTTTGCATCAATAGTGACTACAACAAGAATCCAATATAAATCTGAATAAATGTGTGGCATGTCTAATAAGTCCCTTGGGCATGATACTGCATCTGAAAGGAAACCCAATACCAAGTTGACAGCATCGATAGTTTCCTACTGCAAGTCCCTTTGAAGGGATGGCTTTATATTTAGTTAAATGAATTCATTTTAGGAGTGACACAAATGTTCAGTTCAATGAATTATCCCCCATGAGCTTGATGAAAACAGAGTTTAAACGTCATTTGAGGAATCTCCAAACTAAAAAAACTGTTTACAACTGTTGAAAAAAAAATTACATCCTTGAGTCCATGACTCAATCAAACAAAGGATGACCAACTGAAGAGCAATGCATTGAATGCATGAGTCTCAGGACACCAACTAACAATACAGTTGCTCCTATTACTAAAATACACCCTGAAATAAAAGGGAAGCAATCTCAAAGGACATTACTTTACTGTATAAATTAGAAAAACTCTAAATATGAGGACAAAGTACACAATCCGAGATGTTACAAGAACATTTCTTGATGTGTTCCCCCAGTGATAGAATTTTTTACATACTGACTAAGTTCATAACATACTAAATAAGAGCAAGTACAACATGCATCACGTTGAAGATACAAAAAGGAGACAGAGCTTAATAAACCAAGAACCACTCAGGAACAGGCTACCACGGAGAAGGAGCAGATTGTGGGCATTCCCAGGAAAAAGCCCAGAGTAAAAGCTACCTAGTGGGAGAATGAGAAACATCCAGGATGCAAGCTGTGACTGTGACGGTCAGCTGCATCCAAAGGATTAACCAATTCCAACTGCATTCCACAACCCTATGGCTTTTGGCAAACAGTTGAAGTTGGCGTCAGGTTATGGAAGCTTAAATGGTGTATTTATTTAGATAAATTTATTTTTTTCCCGAATGTTAAGTAAAACAAGGTTCTTTCTTCTTTTCTTTTCCCTTCCTTTCTTCTTTCTTTGGGCAGGGAAAGGGGAAACCCCTCTTTATGTACTACAGTAATGCAACTTAATCAATCACCTTTGCTTTGAAGAACCTTCATGACAATCCAGGAAGGCCAAGAAATCATTGACCGGGTTATCCCCAAGGTCCTTGAATCCATCTTTCTCCATTTTGAAAACTCAATTCGACCTACATCATCATCATCATCATCATCATCGTTATTAAATCAACTACAGAATCCAAAATACATAGTTACAAGCACGTGCACATATACAATTTGAGCAACAATCCGTACAGCACCATTATTACATGCATATTTCAAGCTGAATGTACAACATACACATAATACTAAAAGCTGAATACACCCAAAATGAAAGAACAATTTTATAAAATAGCATAAATCGTAAAGATGGTAGGGGGGATGCTAAAAATCGGATAATTCCTCGGCCTACCATGTTGAAACCGGAGCGTGACTAGGGAGAGAGTTCTAGGCCATTGAACTTTGAGATAAGAACAAAGTAAATGATTTGCATGCGATAACAGCAACAGTAACCGTTAGTAAGCAAGTGTTGTTCAAATTTGAGAGACACTGAGGTGTAAACTAAACTAACCTTGCTGACTCACTGAATCAGAACCCACATTAGCATTGGGTTGAGCTTGAGATCCAGCTTCGGCCAAGTTGTGATTAAACCTCTGAGGCATAAAGTTGAAATTCAATATAAAGAGACTAGACACCCAATGTTCGAATAAATGCGTCAATGAAACCATAAAGAAAAAGGAAGCTACCTGGAGGGTGAGTAGGGCTCTCAGGTGCGAAAGCAAGGCATTTTGTCCGGTGCGTGTAGTCCGTATCGCCATGTGAACGTTTACACGCACGGCCGCTTCAGTCTCCGGTACGCCATTCTCGTTCGAGGCGACTCAAAGACAAGGCGCGCCTTACTGATATGGTTCACTTAGCTCATCATAGGCCATGCCTACTTTTAAAGGAGCCGTGCGTCAAAATATGAGAGCGATACCAAATTAGAGGGTCCGGCTTCTCCATAAGCCAATCTTTTCGTACTTAACAAAGTCGATACGACTCTATTAATAAATAAATTTAATATAAATAAAATAAATAAAAATATATATANTATATATATATATAATATAACTTATTTATATATCAATTTTACACAAATTATTAGAAATAAATGCAAAATTTGTTTAGTGTGTTTTTGAATTAGGGACATATTTATAGATGAAAAATCGATTTTNAAAATATATATAATATAACTTATTTATATATCAATTTTACACAAATTATTAGAAATAAATGCAAAATTTGTTTAGTGTGTTTTTGAATTAGGGACATATTTATAGATGAAAAATCGATTTTACTTAATATTAACGAAAATATAAATCACTGAAGTGATGAATTACATATTAAAGTAAATTTATTGGAAAATAAACTAAATAATAGAGAGGTTAACTCTGTATAGAGTTGTTATACTGATTGAAAGATCTCTTTTTGTAACCTTGCCTTCGGTATTTATGAGAATCATGATCTCATCTCTCGAGATATGAGATATGCAAACAATGTCATGTTTTCTCATTTCTTTAAATTATTAGAGTCTGACTTACTTAATCGTCTTATAAAGCGTAGAGTCTCACTGATTTCTTTATGATCGTTAGATCACTTCTATGTGTCACTCTTAAATTTTACTATTTTAAATATAAACAAAATTAATAAATGAGCTATTTTTATGAAACAAAATCATTAAAACTCCACACAAACGTGCCTCTCCCAACATGATTTATCACCTACATAGGTTAATATAAAAATATATTCGTAACTTCAAAAAGGACTACGCCTCTAGCTTCTCTTTTTCTTTTGCCTTTTTTTTAAGTAGCTTTTATAGTAATCCTTTTTAACATTTTTTTTTTTTCAATAAAAGTCATTGTATGACGTGATCCATAAGTATGTATTGCATCCNTTTTTTAACATTTTTTTTTTCAATAAAAGTCATTGTATGACGTGATCCATAAGTATGTATTGCATCCAAAAATATATATATATATATATAAATTTTGAAAAATTATAAATAAGTCTTACTGATGAGCCCAAAATTAACCGGATCAAGCCCAATAAACAAGGAGTCCAAATCAATCGGGGTAGGCCCAAAGGGAGACCAAAACATCAGCGCTCGAAGGAGACCCAAAGGGGCGCCGCCCAAGGAGGCCACCCCAAGGAGACTCTTGCTTTCCTTTGTTCCATGCTCCCTCTCCTTCGCACCGCCTATGTGGTATCCCTCTTCACTTTGCCACTCTAACACAAGTTCAATCCAACTCACTCAACTCAAGTCCAATCCAGCTCAAGATCCTCCCCCGATGAAATAGGAGTACGAAGGAGAGAATATCGGGATACGCATTACGGAGATTTAATCCTACCATAACTATACTTACTAAAAAATAGTGACCGTCTCATCACCTTATCACCTTGAGACCTCACACATACCTCTCTACACACATTGCTCCTCTCTCTCAAGACATTGTAATTCACCCAGAGTACACTTTTTCGGTGACTTATATTTGTCAATAAAGATCTCTGGCCACCGCTGACGTTCCCAAGAGTGGAATATGTCACTCGGATCGAATCACTATAAATCTGTTTGTTTGCACTTATTTATTGTTTTATCATTGATTGTCTACTCACTACTCATTAATTTTACCTTTACATATACTCGACTGTTGATATTGCGTAATACTAATTTGTGCATCATCAGTTTGGCGTCGTCTGTGGGANACATTGTAATTCACCCAGAGTACACTTTTTCGGTGACTTATATTTGTCAATAAAGATCTCTGGCCACCGCTGACGTTCACAAGAGTGGAATATGTCACTCGGACCGAATCACTATAAATCTGTTTGTTTGCACTTATTTATTGTTTTGTCATTGATTGTCTACTCACTACTCATTAATTTTACCTTTACATATACTCGACTGTTGATATTGCGTAATACTAATTTGTGCATCATCAGTTTGGCGTCGTCTGTGGGAAGTGACTAGTTTCCTACTCTCTCTCAATTCATGGCAATCACGACCAAATCGACGAGTCAACAACCGAAAGACAACAACCTGGCCGACCGGGAGGAGGCTCTACCTCCCCTCGCACCCTCAGAACCATCTGCTACTGCGACTGGACAACAGCAACAACTTCTACAGACTATGCAACTGCTGATAAAACAGAACCAACAGATCATTCAGTTGATGCTCGCCTAGGAAGGCATCACCCCTCACACTGTAGGAGGAACCCCACTCCCTCCAACTGGAGAGGAGTAACAGCCCATCCCTTCTAGGTGCCAAGAAGCCCCTCACCATGGGGCTCCTCGCTAGAATGCCCCAAGGCCACACCAGGGCGCCCCTCGCCCAACAGTCCCTCCTCAGCGCGAAAGGGAGCTCTCGTGTACTTTTTTCGCACATACCTAAGCAGGAGAACGAGGACAAAGAAAGTCAATATGGAGATTATGAAAGCCAGTACCACCACCCAACTGAGAATGTTCTCAATCAGTGGGACGAGAAGATTAGAAAAGTGCAAAATCAACTTGATGATGTCCTCAACGCCATCAAGGCACAAGCGTCTGAGACAGTGGATTACCTGGTAAAACATACTGATACACCTTTTTTTTTTGATATCATCAATTATTCTTTACCCTTGAAGTTCAAGATGCTCACCATATAGATCTTCGACGGTACCAAGGACTCCCCTCGACCATCTAAACACATACGAATCTCTTATACAACTCCATAATGTGCTTGAGGAGATTATGTGTAGGGCTTTCCCTATCATCTTGAAGGGGTCTGTCCGCCAATAGTTCGCAAAGATTAAACCCTCCTCCATCCACTATTTCGTAGAATTAAGTAGGTCATTTGTCTCCCACTTCATTGAGGGACGCCAATATCAGAAACCTGTGACCCACCTGCTCACCATCAAGCAGGACATGGATGAAATCCTTAGAAACTATCTCGCCTGTTTCAACGAGGAGGCTCTCTAGATTTGAGGATCCAGATGATAAGGTAGTCTTGGACGACTTTATCGTTGGTCTTCGCTCATCTAGTTTCATGTTCTCCATCCTCAAGAAGCTGCCCTCCAGCATGCCCGAGCTACTGTCAAGGGCACAGAAGTACATGAATGTTGAGGATATCACCAAGGCCAGAAGAGGTGAATCCTCCAATGGGGGCCAGAAAAGGAAGGACACTCATGAAGATAGGAGGGAGGTAGAGAATAAAAAAAGTAGGATAGAGAGAATCTCTGTCAAAGACCGCCTTGGTCCCCCATCTCTGAGATAGCAACAAAGTCTTCACGCCACTCAATGCTTCCATGGAGCATATGTTGTTCCAAATACAAGATGATCNGTGAAGATAGGAGGGAGGTAGAGAATAAAAAAAGTAGGATAGAGAGAATCTCTGTCAAAGACCGCCTTGGTCCCCCACCTCTGAGATAGCAACAAATTCTTCACGCCACTCAATGCTTCCATGGAGCATATGTTGTTCCAAATACAAGATGATCCTACATTATGTTGGCCAAAGAAGATGAAGACTGCCCTGAATCATAGCATCCCGAACAAGTACTGTCGCTTCCATTGCGACCACGACCATGATACTGAAGACTGCTTTGATCTTAAAAGGTAGATCAATGAGCTTATACAACATGGTTAGTTGAGGCAATGCATTGCCGGCAGAGGACAAGCCTCGCCACCTGGTCAAGACCAGGATGACAGAGAACACTAGTAACCCCTCGGACAAATTCAAATGATCTCTTAAGAGCTAGGAGGAGAAGGTGATTTGAACTCCGCCAAGAAAGCCTCGCCTCACCTATGGGACACCGAACGCCTGAAGATTTTATCTATCATTTATTGTTTTAGTTGATTTATTTATTTGTTATTTTGTGAAATAAAACTCTGCGAAGATTATTGTGTCCAGAATTATTTTGTTTTCCTAAAATTTACAAATAACTTACAAAAGTCAGAACATGACTTAACAACAAGGTAGACAAAAAAACAAAAGTCGTCATCAAGGCTCTCTCTGTCATCGTCTACCTCTAGTGCCTCATATGTGATAAAACCAAAATCAAGTGATTATCTAACTGTTTCCCTGTGTTACTCAAGGCGCTGCCCAAGTGTCCCGAGACCTCACCGAGGCCAACGCTCAGGTAGGCATACTTTAGACAAGCACCTAGATTGGCGTCGCCCAAGTAGGCACCGCCCAGGCCAGCGTCTAGACTGGCATCGCCCAAGTCAGCACCCATGTTGGCGTCACCCAAGCCAGCACCCAGCTACACCTAGAGCCTCTTGGCGTCTGCTCCCAGCCCCCCTCGGCATTCGCGCCCATCATCAGGCACCCACCTCGTTAGCTCCTTCTTCATCTTTATCTCAATGGAATGAGTCTCTGCCACGGCAACCATATCTCGAGTTATATGTAGCTCGGCCTACGACTCTACTCTCGTGCAAGTAGTCACCTAGTAAGTCTTAACCATTTCCCGAGTTATACGTAACTCAGTCTATGACTCTACTCTCACGCAAGTAGTCACCTAGTAAGTCTCTACTACGGCAGCCATCTCCCGAGTTATACGTAACTCGGCATATGACTCTGCTCTCGCACAAGTAGTCACCTAGTAAGTCTTTGCTACGACAGTCACCTCCCGAGTTATACGTAACTTAGCCTATGACTCTGTTCTAACGCAAGTAGTCACCTTGTAAGTCTTTGCTATGGCAGACATTTCCTGAATTATACGTATCTCGACCTATGACTTTGCTCTCATGCAAGTAGTCACCTTGTACGCTTCTGTTACGGCAGCCATTTCCCGAGTTATACGTAGCT